CTTTACATCAAATAATTAATCGACTATATGAGGAAACTTTTGTTAATAAAAATAAAACTTTCGTGGCAAAATCATATCCAATTGCATTATATCGAAATTTAAATGGTAAAACTATTGTAAAATGTATACAATATCGTACTTTTACGATATCTAAACGTCATCCTGATAATTATTGTCTTTTAAAGAACGGCTGCAATGTTATTGTACATGATATTTATACTTCTGACATAGAAGTTGACGGAGATAATAGTAAAATAGAATTAAAAGTGTCGCAATTTCTTTCTCCAAAATATTTTTATCATTCGCCATGTAATTCTAATATATTAGGAATATTAATCGTAAATAAGAACAATGTATCTGATCACTTTACTATTGAGCCAGTAGATATTATTACCAAATGTCTACTATTTCCAATAGAAAGTGATAAAGGAACATATGTTTTATTGCCTATGGTACATACTTATCATAATTAAGGTTGCTAAAGCAAGGTTGGTGAAGACTAATGTTTTTTTTAAGAATGAAACATACTGTGTTTCTTTTTAAATACATTTTTAATGCTTCAAATATGTTTTAAACAGTACTACAAAAAAACATATTCAAAAGATATTAAAAACATCAATTTAGCATATTTTATGGCTATTCTACAATGTGCTTTTTGTTTCCTGTTTCTTGCTGTTTGTCCCTTGTCTTCTTGATCAAAAAGGCAAGAGACAAACAGAGACAAACAGCAAGAAACAGGAACCAAAAAGCACATTGTAGACCAGCCATAAAATTGTTTAAAACATGTTTTTTACCAACCCTGTAATTAAGCAAATAATATTAACAGAAAAAATCGTCAATAAATATAAAATAAATTGATAATAATATACAACAATTTTCTGTTATTTTTTAAACTGCAGTTGTGTTGATTTTATTAATCATGGTCAATTACGATCAACCATTCGCCATCGCACGTTTCTTAGAAAGCGATACATTTTCTGAAGTCCCAAGTAATTGGTTATACGAAGAAAAAAATAAAATTTTATGTTGGTGGCCAGTAAAAGTAAAAAATGTCACGTCTTATATATCAAATCGTATACCACCAGATGAGTCAACGTGGGAAATGTGCGAGGTTGAAATAGAAACCTATTGTGGTAAAATAACATATCCTTTTCTGACATAATGAAGCAATATAAGAGAAAATGCAATTATTAAAATCTATAAAATTATTTTACAGATACTTGGGAAAAAGCAAGAAAAATAGCGGATGACCCCATGTATAGAACTACGGATGATGAGGATCTTGGCAAAGGCCGTCGAACAAAAATCAATAACACTAGATTCAGTTCTTCGCCAGAAGATTCAATAAAGAAAAATGAAATCACTAAAAGTAATAAAGTAAAAAAAAAGGGCGAATACTCAAAACGTTTGTATTTTTTACTTGTATTTGTACCTATAACTTATATCAATCTTTAATATAATTTTAATATAACTGTTTAAAATATAATTTTAGCAATTATCACAAGTTGTATTACTGTTCCACCCATGTTAACTACAAAAGATATTGAGAGCAGTAATATTATTTTTGACGGAAATATAAATGTTATAAATGCAGCCGATGGTAAGTTAAATTCAATAATATAGCTCAGTGACAATAAACCTTACATGTTATAATTTTCCACTCAATAATGTGAGTGTTACAAATAATGCATATTATATCGTTGAATGGTAAATTGTAACTTACATGTAAATTTACTGTTATTTGATATTTATAACAAAGTTATTAGTTGTTGCGAATTTTTTGTTCAAAATAATAAAATTCATTAATTAATTTTTATTTTTAACTTTTACATTTTATTTTTAAATATACTAAATATAGTTTTATTATTTTTAATATAATATTTAAAATACTTACAAATACTTATATGAAATATAAATATTAAGTTGTTTCTAAATAATAAATGTCATTAACATTTTTATTACAGCCAATTCATTTCCTGTAACATGTGTTAATAACCTGGAATCCGATAAAGAAATATTACAGATAGCGCGAGATATTGCTATCATTAAAGGTATTCCACAAATTCTAATTTTACATGAAAATAGATTGTGAATTTTGTATATATACTTTTAAAATATTTCACTTCTTAAATCGAAAAATTATTTTTTACTTCTTTTTTACTTTTTTTTAAATTGCAAAATTCATTTACGTCTTTTCAAACTAGCCAGATAATAACTTATCTATAATTAAATGTCATTAAATTTCTTTAGAAAATAACGATGTAGATATTTAAATTATTTAAATTATGATTTTTCTCTTTCTTAGATATACGAAGTTTTCGAAACCCTCCAAGTTTTAATTTTAATATTTAAATTCTCGTCACTATGTATAAGATTGTTATAATTTTAACTTTTAATTTTTTACATTTCTCAGGGCAATATGATACAATATGTCGTATGCATGCTTCACTTCTGGTTACATGTAAAAGTATTGATGAAAGATTAAAGAAAATGGAGCGCAAGCATGTAATACCTTCTGGAGAAATGCAATATCAACTACTACGTCCGTTATTGCCATTAAAATGTCTTCAACATATTAATAATTTCGAAGAACTTATCACAACTAATGATTCAGCCCTTTCTCAGTATGTAAGTATATAGTTTTTCATAATAATTAATCAATATAAATTAATTATTATAAATAACAACGAATTAAAAAATTAAATTCTTTTTTTTAGAGAAGTTTTATCTCTAATATTGGAGGCCACACAACGAAAGATAACATTCATAGGATTTTAAAAAAAGTTTTCTCCGATGAATGTGCTAAACTTTGTTCATGGAAAGGGACAAAAAACAATTATGCTGTGTATAATTTACAAATAATCACAGAAATTAATGCAGCTGTTGTTTCATCTCATGAATTAAAAGAAATCGAATTTGAAGACGTTGCTGCAGAGTGGTTTCGCTTTGCAAAACAACGAAGTAAGAAAAAATTAGAATCAATACCGAAGGAAGTACCACCAAAGGAAGTATCAACAAAAGAAAAATAATATGATTATCTATTCGTGACTTTTTTAATATCTCATTTCATTTGTGATTATTAATGATACTAGTTTTTTGTTACATTGAGATATATATATATATATTGTTCTATGATATTTTTAAATTTATACCTAAGGTAATGAATAGCAATTTTTTATGTCTTTCATGCAATCAAGCAAATAAAAGCTAACATATAGTTTTCAGAACATGCAACTTTTTTGTTATTAAATGCAAAATTATATATTTTTATCATTTATCAATTGTGATATTATTGATATTATGTATGTGCTAAGAATTTCTACGATGCTATATTTGTACGCACTAGAAAATTTAATATAAGAAATGTTTTTTGAGATAACGCGTGTTTAAATAAAACTGAAAGTTTGATACATACAACCAATTTAATAGATTTAAGAAATTTTCAAATTGACAAAATTTCGAATAAGTGTGCCTTTAGCTTAGAACATATACTACACCACACTTGACGATGTCTGTCTTAAGCGGATGCAGTCTCCCAATATATACCTCGAAAACTACATATAACCAATTTTAGATTTAAGAAATTTTCAAATTGACAAAATTTCGAATAAGTGTGCCTTTAGCTTAGAACATATACTACACCACACTTGACGATGTCTGTCTTAAGCGGATGCAGTCTCCCAATATATACCTCGAAAGCATTTCCGAAGACGATCAGACTTCCAACAATTATACATCCAATTGTATATACAATTGTATATGTGTAGTATATGTTCTAAGACATTACTCTATTTAATTTTTATATCATTTATTTCTTCTATATATTATAAATATATGCATAATACTTGTAAAATAAAATCTTTTTATTGTAATATAATATAACGATTATTTTTCTATTAATATGAATACATCATTTTACAATCATAATTATGCCTTAT